TACAGCAATAAAAAAAAAATTGAAGACCAACCAATGTTTCATCTCTTTCTTCATTCCATAGTCCCTGGAATATGAATGAAAGCAATCGCTGTTTTATTCCACTCAGGAAAGAATTCTCCGGATTAGTCTGGCCTTGATGCATGTGATTTTCAATGTGGTTCCCAGGAAACTGGAGCTGTTTAATTTTGTCAGAAAATGCCATGCCCTGTCAGAATGATTGGTGATTGGCCTATATTTTTGTGAGTTTAGCTCTTTACATATGCCACAAAACCATCAGAATTATCAATATTGAGCTAGAATGGCTTCATAATTGATAAGGGATGATTGGGATGCAGTGACAATTAAAGATGACCACAAAATTATTAACTTGAACCACTGAAGCAGAATTGAAAAACATTCCCGAGATGACCCATCCCGGTGATTTGAAAAAAAAAAAATCAATTGTAAAAGCATTAAAGGACAGCCCAATGTACACGGACAAGAGTTCTCACCCAGAGTGATGTCTCTAGGGAGGTAAAAGTACACACAGCCTTAACCCTACAAGCAGATATGTTGCTTTTAGGATTTGACCCCATGACCTCTAAGTCATAAGCCAGCATCCTTGTTGCCACGCCAAGTAATGCCCTTGAATTGGACAAGTTTAAGTATCCTTAAAATAACAATTTTAGTTCAAGGGAGGACCCACTATTGAAGCATACGGGTGGCCAATGGAAAGCCCCAAGAGGAGGGAGAAGGTAAGGGAACAGAAAATGGGGTGGATTGAACTGTGAAGTTTGAACCCATGCACTCTTGTTGCATGTCCCAGTTCCACTAAATGTTACAATTTCTTTTTTCTCAAAGTCCATGACAATCTATGTAATTGTGTGCTAAAACAAAACGCATTAAAATAAAGTCAATACCAAAAGCTAACTGACTTGAGCATTGGAATTGAGAAAAAGCTGGTCATCTTCACGGCAGAATTCCCCAATAGCCCGTACATCAACAAGGTTACCAGCATCTCTTATCTGAAGAACATGTATAGTTTGATAGCGAAGTGATACAATTGCCAATAGGTCTTCATACAAGAAGACACCCGTATTATGGGTTAAATTAACAAAGTCGTTACAGAAGACCTTCTTGTCCAAGATCTCTCCATCTTCCAGTCTATTTCAACAGGTGAAAAATCAGGAATTGGTCTTGTTATGATGAAGATCAGAAAAAAAAAATGAATATAAAGAATGATGAATGCGCACCTCAAGAGGTGGAAAGTTATCTTTTCAATTGAAGGAACACCATGGACAGCTCCTCCTACAGCAGGTGCATCAGGAACTTGGGCTGGCGTTGAAGTAGCAAATAGTCCAAATTGCTGGCTCTCCAAGTAAAGAAAGAAATCTTTACATATAAGCTCATTACAAGAAGCAAGTGGTACACAATATAGTTGGGTGAAAAAACTGTCAAATCTTTTAGCTCTAGATGGCAAATCATGTTTATCGCAATCTTCATCTTTGCATGAAAACGAAAGCCATCTAGGCCTATAAACGATCAGCTCCTGATAATTTCTGCTGAAACTTATAAGGTACTGTCCATCATCAGTGAATTTACGAAACAAGTGGTCTGGGCACTCAACCTCATAAATAGTGTAACTTGGCACCAAATTTTCATAGAAACACCGAGCATAATGAACCTGCAAGAATTAAATTACACCTGCAAAAATTAAATTCGATTCAGGTTCCTTCAACAGAGGAACAAGACAACAAATTCAAAAAGTGAAAGCAAATTTTCCAAATTGGCACATTATATGTATCTTTTGCATTTCAAGCTTCCACTTTAAAAACATCAGGTTATACTTGACACTGCATAACACGACCAGAATCAAATAAACTGTCCAACCTCTCTAAATACAGAAAGTGTAGACAAAGCAAAACCTTGTTTATCTTCCCTAACTCATGTTTTTGATAGTTCACCGGGGAATGTTCTCATTTCCTACAATTACAACTTACAACCCAATCATTGTACAATTTCTTCTTAACACTCTCTTCCCCAAAAAAATGTGGCTAAAGAAGACAACACATGTAATAATTCTCAGAAAAAACAACAATAAATAATATTGGTAGTGAAAAGAAATTACACTAGTGCCAGGAGGAGGAGTGCAAATCTGACGATTAAAAATCCTAGCCACAATATTGCTGCTTCTGTACATTAAAGCGTGTCCACAAACCGGAAAGGTTCACCCTAGAAACGAAGAAACGAATTTTTCATGTCAGAAAAGTTATATCTACAAAATTAATATTTTTAATATTATGTTAATGAAATATTTATAAAAAATAAATGGTCACAGCCGGCATATTCAAATCAAAATTATCCAAAGTCAATGACAATGTATGTAAAGCAAGATGAGTAATTTATGTATTTGAACGTGGAAATGCTTGATTAAGAGATGACAAAAATGATGACTACACAAGATATAATGAGGAGAGAGTAAAAAATATTCAGGAATTAAAAAATGAGGACCGAAATAAGATTGAAATAATATACAAACACTTGCAAACTTCTTGGAAAACACGTACAAGAGAAGAAATAGGAATATAAAATCAATCAAACTCTCCAATAAGTTCTAATCAAGTATGCACTTCAACTTTTGAAAAATGAGCTGATTTCAAATTATGACAAGGCTATCATTTATACACGTGTTGTTTGAGAAGCTCGTCTAAAATGGGAACTGATAAAGCAGGAGTAGAAAAGGCCAATCTAAGTCATCTAGAGTGTGTGAAACATGTGCTAAGAGTCCTAAAAATTATACATGCAATAGTTTAGGGTTGACGAACCTCAAACCGAATCCGAGAGTGCGTTGCAATAACAACTATCATTCTTTCGCTAATAATAAATTGAAGACGCTATCATCACCTAAATCTTAAAATCAGCAGCGTACACTACTTAGTTTCACCCTTAGGTGGATCTTAACGAAATGAAACCTAGCCGCAGTTCAGAATTCAGATTCAGCAGTCAACTCATCCTAGTTTAAAACTCGGTATTATTGCGATACAATTACATTTTCACACATTCAACAAAGAAGTTGAACGGATAAAGCGAGTTAAATCAGCGTTCAGAAAATTGAACCTAAAACAATAATCGGAAAAAGAGAGAATTAGAGATTGCGCGCTGAGAAAGAAGAGCTTACCGGTGGCCACAGTGAGAAACGCCGTTGACGGAAGAAAGGAGAGAAGAGTAGAATCGAGAGAGAGAATGAGAGCGAGAAATTTTTGTTGTGTTGTCTTGCGTTGTGTTTGAGGGGTTGGGGTTGGGTAAATAAAAAGTGAGTTTGGAGATGCCACGTCACATGCATGTGTTCATCTCTATTTATTTCCCTTTGCAACTTGCAAAAATGGATTAAGCACCACAACTATCCTTTCATTCCTTTTCTTCTTTTTCCCTTTCTTTCTCTAGTTTTTAGGATAAGGTGCACCACAAAATGATTTAATGCGAATAATAATAATAATTTTATTTGATAGAAATGGAATATCATATAATAACAAATAAATTTTATTAAATCTGGATCAACATTTTTTTTATTTCTGTTTATCACAAAATTATATTTCTGTTTATCCAAAAATCATATACTACGAAGTCAAATATGTTAAGCTACGTAAATATTTTATCAATACATATCAGATAATAAAAAATTATGTTAGTTATAATTTAATTATTATTATATTTTGTGTAAACATCATTTTTATGAAGAATTATAGGATTTATATATATATATATATACTATTCTAATTTTTAAAATAAAATATCATAATTATTCTTTAAATTTTTTTACAAAATACAATTAGATCAATCATTACTAATATTCAAAAGGATTTTACAAAACAAATTTGTAATATAACAAGGAGTATTTAAAGTTTTTTAGCAAGGATCCTTTTAAAATGCATGCATCTATTTATGAATATTCGTGTATATTATAGAGAACCTTTTTCATTTTAGACAATTATTGTATTTAGTAATTGTCATGGTTATTCTTAATTTAGATATCATTGGACAATGTTAAGATACTCCTTACACTGCAATTTTGCCATGTTAAAAGAATACAAAATATCATTACACAATTGTTAAAATTGAATCAAAGGATTGAGAATTTTTTTTTTCTTCTTACTGTATACAATTATTTTTGTTAGTAACTCTATCATTAAAAATCATAAAATCATTAGTTTCGATAATCAAAATCCTGTAGTCGGGTTTTTCAAAAATGTATCTTTAATTTTTAATAATTTTCAACCAATAATAAAGAATGCATTACAAAAAGTGTATAAGATAATATCGTATTATTGGCATTGTCATTGTATACAAATAAAATTTAAAAGTGTTAACATTATTAATGAATTGGTTGAAGGCATGAAAATTATAGTTTTCGTATTAGAAAATGATTTGCACCACAATAGAAATGGTGCTATTATTGATAGTACATAGAACGTGGCCTAGTTTTGACCCCATGAATAGCATGATCAGTAACCAAAATAGCATCATACAAGACCAAGCCGACAATCATGCCATTGAACTTTATAAATGAATCACTTACAAGATTACAACCTGGAAAAGTTTGCCATTCACGAATATAAATTTTCTACAGAGTTTTTTTTTTTTTGTGTAAGCATCGATCATAGTTTATTGTTTATGAAGTATGCAACGATTATTATTTTAATGTTTGGATAGAAAACTAGTTTTTGTTATTCAATTTTAATTATGGATGCATTAATCCTTTTTAAGTTCAGATTTTGACAGAATTTTCAGTTCAGAAGGACATTTGCAAACGCAAATCCCTGCAAGAGCAACATTGTGCTAACACAGGATCAAGTGGGTAAGAGAGAGTTGATTAATTTTTGAAACTTCACAGTATTTATTTCCATAAGTAAACTGTGCATCTTTTTCCAACATATTTATTAGAACTGGTATTTGCAATTGCAGAGAAACATCAAATCGCAACGGAAGCACTAAGGAAGGACATAAAAACACAGAAAGGAATGTGATATTTAAGTAGTGGAGAATTACCTGCGGACAAAGCAACCAAAGCAACGATCGTACAATTGGACATCAACGCTACTTGCAGATGACATAAAACATGGGATTGGAGGAGATTTAATGAATAGGGTAACGATAAAAATTATTACAGTGAAAAAAATAAAATAGCATATACAAAAGGGATAACTAAACAAAGAAAATGGGAAGGAATGGCGTCAAACTTCGAATGGAAAATCCCATCTAGTAGACATTGCAATCTCAGGTCTTGCCTCCCTGGAAAGATGATGACAGTATCCTGAAGAGTCCGTCTGGGTTATCAGCATGCACCTGTTCAGAGAAAAAGTAAATCAATCCTCTTTTAAATGGAATCACAAACAGTCCAAATGGCGTATAATTCATCCTCATTACATCATTAATATGTAACTACATAACAAAATTTCAAATCTTAGTAAAACAACAGAGTGAGAACAGTGGAAGAATCTAACCACCACTTAAATCACTAAACATGTGGATGTAATCCCTTTCTCCTATCGCTAACAATACATGATGCTCTAAACGAATTCCTCAGTTTTTGACTAGCAAGAAAACACTTAATATCAACTTCGGGAAATTTTTCCAAGAATATACCTTGTCCTTTTCAGGAGAGAAAATACTATTTGCATCAAAATAAATTTATGCGTATGGTAAACGCTTCAGCCCTTAGCTTTTGACACGGATGCGTGGGGGAAACAATATATGCAGAGATATGGGGATCTATGCTAGTCTACTTAATCACTTACTTTTCTAAAACAACTCTTATTAGCCTCCAAATACATTAAATCATTGACCAAACATAAAAAAGGGGATAACGTTTAACATTTTGCAGCGTTATCAATGGCAGATGGCATGTGGCAGAAAAGCAAAATTCTGTCGCACACGGTTGCAGTATGGTACCGTCATAGCAGACCCCTCTTCACGAATTGTCTAAAGGTAGTTGGCAAAAATATCCAGCATGCTATTCTACCATGGTGCTACCATTTAACAACGTTGATCTTTAGATGAAAGACAGCTGATAGCGTGCAATGTTCCCAAGCCTTAGGGGTAAAACCTGAAAATGTCTGTCTTGCCACTACATTACTAAAAAGGGTCAACCCCTCACTTTTGAGAATTCATTTTATCCGTTTTTACCAGTATCGTGAAGTTTCCATGTTATCTCCTAGTATTAATATCTATTTAATAGTAAATAAAATCACCAGCCCTAACTATTCCCTATAATCCAGGATGCTATATTGAAAGTATTTTGGACGATAGCATAGATCTCGAAAGGTTAAAGACAGGTACGGGAGGAGATCGTTCTATAAAAAAATAACTGAATGACATAACATACCCAGTGGCCAGCATCTTCAAGGACGTGCATTTCAACTCCACCTCCTTCCTCAGCTGCAAGCTCTTCAGCCGCATGGATCCGCCGAAGATCTTCAAGAGCCCATCTATGCAAGCTTCTTTCTGCTTTCAAAAAGTTCATATGCACTCCACGAGGTACATCTTCAACAATTTTCCTATGAACAGAAGCACAAAGCATTATTGGTTCCACAATCTTCCGTGTGGAAAGATTAAGTTCATAATTAAATGTGATTTCCTTCAGCAAACAGCCTAATATAAAATTAACAATCATACTTATATAGGACCTGGCACTGCCATTCTAATTCATACTGAAAGCAGGAAGGACCCGTCTCAACCAAAGAAGTAGGGCAGATAAATCAATATATCACAGCTAACATTGTCACCATGGATAACAGTATGTACCACAAATTTGTTTCTTCATAGGATTGATACATTTCTGCAATCCCCCTTAGGTCAAACACCCATGCAAAGCCAGACGATTGTGAACCACAAGAGCTGGAAGGTCGCAGGTTAGTCACAACCCACTAGACATGGTAACAGAAGAAAAAAAAATTAATACAGACAAAAATTGCCAAAAAAATCTATTGTTTTTATCTTTATTTATTTTAAAGTGAGTTATGTTAATTTTGTAGCATCCAACTTATTCATCAGGATAACAAAGCTCTTGAAATTTTGTTTAATCAATCGTCTGGTGAAACAATTATAAATGTGACAAATCAGATAGGCAAGCAAACTGTACTTTCCAAAAGAAGTAAAAACCAAGTGTTCATCTATGAATAGTTGATACAGATATGTTCATAATTGACTGACTAGTTTTACATTTGGACTGATTTTCTAACTCAATTTACACGTACAGGCCATGTGCAGACTGTTAAATTTTGTTGCAGTATTATAAACATCTCCCATCACTTGATGCCAATTTTATAAACTTTTTACTTTAGAATTTATAGTGCCTTCAAGGCACCAAAATTTACCATTAATCATGCATTCTATAATTATTATGACACCATTCTAGCATAAAATGACAGTGAAAGCCTGAAGGGTCAAAAGGTGCAAACAGGGTAGTGGCAAACTACTTTACTGGGCATGTGCTTCACCAACAATGGCCATATTTATATATCATCAGTGATTCATAAAAAGTATACAGTATCCAACTAAACACGAAATTTCTGACACGTACTCTCAATAAACATGATATTTCTAACACTATATCAAAGTATACCATAGTTGTACCTGTGCCACATCATTGGAAAATCCTTGTTGGATAAGAGCTCGTACAACTTCGTGCTTTGTAGATATCTTCCTTGAGGAAATGATCATAGAAAAATAAAAGGTTAGGTCACAATATAGCACTAAAAGTAAAAGCATTTTGTAAATTTATTCATAAAAAAGAAGCTAAAGTGTAAAGGAAGATATTTATTATGCTACTGAGCTGCCAATCCAAAGTGCACAAAATGTAAATAATAAAAGTAAATTTACATAGAAATTACAATGGCGGTCAGCTTTGTTCCCATAATTCCCTATATTTTTTCTTTCCCCCCTCTTTATACTCCTCTACATTGTAGTTGAATGGCCAATCGCATCGCCTATCAGAGAGAGCTTAAATTTTGAATCGGGACAATTTTGATAGTGATGTGTCAAAGCACTTGTACCATTTTCACAATTTTGTACACACAATTGGTTGCTTTGACGATCACGTACTTGACAACAATGTCATACTTGCGATTTTCATGCATCATTATCGAAACATGAATTTTGATCAAACTCAACAACCAAATCTTAAAATTGAGGAATTAAAACAAAAGTGACACATTGAATCAAATTAACATCTACTATATTTGTTTCTCTCTGAAAGAAATATTAATTGAAAGGGATAAAAAAAGAATAAGGATCTACCTCCTTGGGCAGTGTGCTTAGAAAGGATATAAGTTCTGCTGGATGATCTTCTCCGTCTCCACCAGCTCGAACTTTTCCAGGCGTTGCATCCAGAACCCAAGCCTTCAAATAGCACAGTTAACAAGTATGAAACAGTTCAGAAGCACTCAAACATATATACAGACATACAAAACAGAAACTACAGTTAAATCCTTGTCAACTCTTACTTTTTTAACCGGCTGATTTTTTAGTAGTCTTAATTCATTATGTTCATCTTTTTAAAGTCTCACTTTTTTAATATGTATTCAATTTTCAGGAGTTTCAGAGGGGTCCAATCTGAAAATAGATCTCACATATGAACCAATATTATTTTGAGAACCTCCTTAATGACTATATTTGAGATACACAGTTAAGTAATGATGAGTAACTTCTGGTCCCTTTATCTGGCATCTTCAGTCCCTGATGAGTACCTCTGATCAGAAGAATCCCCTTCCCTCAACACAAAGACTCGTCATCTCTGCCATTTGCATGCAACCCCTCATGCATGCATCTCTCCTCTGCTCATTTTGTCACACACAGAAGGACATGTAATGTAAGCGTGATGCTTTTTCCAACCACCATACTCCTCCAGCATCTTTTCGGCTGATCCTTAATCAGATATGTTTTTCCAAACTCTCAACTACACCAGTGACATAACTCCAGCTTCAATCACACTAACCGAATTCCAGTGAAGTATTTCCATTGTTTCCATTCTCACAAACTACAGTAACTAGTAGCCACTTACTCCATCAGTGGTGTTCTCTTTATTTGGATAGAATTTTTCAGTCCACTCACTTGAGCCAATAGGCATAGATTTCAACAGAGTTCAATTGTCTATTCACCACAGGAAATTTGGCTGCATTTAGCTGTGTTTGCCACCATAAGGCTGGATTCATTGGTCACAAGCTAGGAGCATAATAGCTCCATCGTGAGGGTGGCTGTCATAATTAAATGGTTAACAGCACACTTTAGTTATTACTATTTCTACAATTGATGTTTAATTCCTCTGGTAATTGAACCTCTATAGAGTATAATTACCAACCTGTGAGGGTTGTGCACACTTTAAACATCAAATGACCATCTAAATCCAATACTCATAGTAAGCATTTTATCCTACCAGACAATTTTTCTGTGCATCTTCATGAATAGTATAATACATAGATTCAAGCTAACTTATCACCATAGCAAAAAATATATTTCATGGAGAATAAATTCATATCATCCTAGGAGTTTCTCCATCTGAGCCTCATGCATATATTCTAGTGTCAGCACAATTAAGGGAAACTGCTATACATCCTCCATTATCCATATTTTCATCCTTAAAGCATTGTTAAATGTTATATTGGAAATGGGATTTAAAAACCAACATGCTGCATATTGTTAACACATAAAAATAGTTGATAGCTGATACTTCATCCAGCAAAAGCAAACACGAATGGAGTTTGGACTTACTCTAACTGGCCGAGCAAGAGGCTTTGCAGCTTGGTCCACCATGCTCAAAACAACTGAAAAATGGACGAATGTATACTGAAAAAAAGGCACTTAAAAATTAACTTAATCAAAGAATCAGTGACTAACCTTTCCCCCCAAAACTATGACCAACTAGCACACGAGGTGTTATTCTTAGATCTCGAACCTATCCACAAGAACAAAGAGGAAGTAATTACAAGAAAGGAAAAATAAATTACATGTATACAGAACCGCAAGAATTTAATCAACAAGCAAGTTTGACCTAAATTTTTAACATTCCAAGGTTTTCTATCTATAGCAAAAATATTCCCTTAACTCAAAAAATGTTTCGATTTGAAAAAAAAACAAGGAATTTTAATTCCCACAAATTGATATCATTTAGCATTTTAAAAATTTAAAAAGGACGGCATACTGCAATTAAAATTAAGGGGTGCGGTAAAGCCAATAAATATTTGAGGAATTCACCCAAACAAGAGAGAGACCGTAAATCATGAAAGACAAAGAAGACAAAGGAAGGGTCAGGGTGAGTTGCAAGTACCCAAGGAAATGCAAATGGTTGAAAACTAGATTTTCCATACAGTAGAACAAAAGTTTAAATCTCATTAGGAATGGGTGGAGTGAATTTAATAGACCCTCTCCCATATTCCTTAGGAAACCTACCACATATATGTGACAATGATTAAAGAAACATAATAAAGAAAACGCACTAGTTTTAGAACGTCACTAGCAGCAGATGCTACAGTATGGGGACCTCTCTTCTTCATTGATGCTGAATCACCGTGACATCGTAGGTCTACTAAAAGGATCTGTCAATGCAAACAAAAAGAAATAAAACAGGATTCAGACTTTTGTAAATCCAAATTATTGGACCCCTACTCTCAAAATTTAAGATACCCAAAAAACAAAATATTATCTAATCAGAGTCAAATAATTTGATCCAAACTCATCACCCAACAATAAACCAGAAAGTGTTGCATCGTCCATTTTAAACAGAATCTTTTTAACAAAGTTTTAAATTCGTGACTATAAATGGTTTGTTGGCAGTGCAGGTATTTCCATGCTATCAGAGGATTAAAATTAATTTCATATGAATAATACCTGCTATAACAATAAATATTAACATGTCAAATAGTACCTTAGACAACTCAGCATAACAATTTAAAGTAAAATACCTGCCATGTAGGAAACTCTAGAGCCAATCTCCTAGCAAAACTTCCTGCAATATCACTCTTTCAGCAGCAAACTATGAAACTAACTAACAGTTTCTTCTTTCTCAATATATTTGACTGCAAACCAGAAATACTTCTTTGCAAATATAACATCAAACTTAAATATCAGAAACCACATGAAAACTACAACAAAAACAAAATATCCACAAAAATAAAAAAAAAAAGATTTAGCTCCATATAATAATAAAGCTAAGGGTAAGTGACTCGTTTATTGTTCTATTAACACACTACAAATATTTCTCCTTAACAAAACCACATAAGGATGTCAGCATTTAACTACCCAATGTATAAATACATGTCAATTGACTTAGACTTCCAATCTTTTAACCAACAAAGCTTCTTGTGAAATTAAAGAAGGATGAATAAGTTAAATTTAGTTTATTTATATGTCAAGAAAACTTGAAAAGACTCAGAGAGCAAATAATCAACCAAGGACCAACTTTCTAATAGGATGAATGTGCACCAACAAAGAAATCCTACAAATCACGCTTATAGTCATAACCCACAAGAAATTCCAGAAAAAGCTTGAACTTCTTATGTTTTAGGGAACTTAATCTTTCTCATTTTAGTCTCTATAATTTCAATCAACTCAACATTAGATTTTCATGCAATACTACAATATCTTTCTGATGAATGGCTGCACTAGTAACGAAAAGAGACATATGTGCACCTATCAGCTATAATCAACAGCAAGAGAAACAGTACTGAACCTAAAAGAATATGAATCATACCTATAGAATTGGAAATATAAGAAACAAAATGGGTTTTTTTAGAAAGTACAAATAGATGAACTTAAAAGTGTATCTAAGCCCATTACTCAAAAAGTTACATGAAACAAAATGATAGGGATTATATGCCTTTTCATTGAAATTGTCCAAGTCAAACTTATATACTTGCACATACTAATTCATAATGCATTTCACCTGAACAAAAAGGAGCTTTGGAACGATCAGTCATAAATAACCAGATCTCCAGCCTAGCTACTCTAAAGGAGCATGTAGAACAGAAAAGTGATTTGATCAATGAAGAACACATTGTTGCCAAATCATAACCATGCACAACACATAGAAACAATTCAGGCCATGCATAAAATTTATATCACCAAAGGCTTGCAAAAATAAAATAAAATGTACACAGAACAACCCACCCCAGTTTTTCCTGCATCCTAGGATCCCATGCAGAAAAACAGCTGTTGGTGGATCAGGTAAAGATCTGTCCATAACAGAACTCCATCTCACCTATATAGGAAATTATGCCAGCATATTAGTCTCTTATAGCTTTACACAACATCATATTAATGAGATTCGTTAACTTATGAAAATACACGAGGATTGCAGCAATCCAATGTTATATTACTAACTTTTGTCTAAATATCCTCATATAGTTTCAAAACAATTTTGTGAAGAAGCCATTAATGGATTTGTACGGTCAACAACTTTTTTGTTCCATATCAGTGCTTAATATCATTAAGAGTGTGTTTGGTTTAGCAACTTAATTAAGCATTTATTCATGTCATGAGCTCTTATATTAGGGCTTAAACCATAAATTTAGCCATGGAATTTATTGGAATAAGTTAAAATGAGCTTATTCTGATTGATACATAAAGAAGTTTATAGGAGTCAAACTAGATGCCCAAAAGCCATTACATCTTCCAGACATCCCTAAAGCCAACCCCACCTTGTGGGAAAAGGCTTAGTAGTGATTGTTGTTATTAGATTTAAAAATGAACACAGCCACTCTTTCAACCACATAAATATTCTAATGGATTGAATGGAACACCCTAAATCTAGAAAGTAAAAAGATTAATTCTCTGAAAACTGAAAACTAAATCCCATTAGATGAAATGGCGAGGCAATAAATAAATAATACTTACAAGTTCCCCCTGAATCAAATCATATGCCTGCAGACAAGGACGCACAAAAATCTCAGTTACAATAAACAAGGATAAATTAGATACTACGTTTTTGAAGAGGAAAGCATTAGTTGTATTTTGCCATCAGAATTGAGAACTTGGACTCTATTTTTTATTATCTGTTCACTAAACACACTAAACAAACTTCATAGTTGACGGACTTTGCAACTAAGAAAATACAACAAACGTCTCTTCTCTTTTTACAGTGCCAATGTAAACACACGATTGAAGCAAATGAATTAACCCCAAAACGCATGGAATGAGGATTCAGATTACCAAGATGCTAGAGGAGGTGGCCACCTCCCCTTTTTTCCCAACAGTGTTGCCCACTAATGCCATTGATATGGTCTGGCCATTAACTCCCCGCCTAGAGTGGCCAAGAGCTAACCGAGAAACGTTGAATTTGTCATTCTACACAAAAAAAGAACCCATACATAACGTGAGAGGTACGATGTCTCAAAGACTCAACGCAATGAACGTATCACGGAATAGACACTTAACAATTGCGCAACTAAATACAAAGCGCAAACGGCAACATTAGCATCAACTTATTTTCTTGGCTAAGTTAATACAAATTCCGATCAAATTCAGCAGTAAAATTTGCGATCATGACATATGACGTATGCTAAATTTGCAACACATTGAAATTATCGAAGAAACTATAAAGCCAAGAAATGCACCTCGGAGAGACGAAGAAGTGGAGACGTGACCTTGCAATTCCTCCATGCAGCTGAGGTGAATTTGGTCTTCCGGTCCGACGAGTTAATCCCCGCCACCGCCGCGGCGGTGCAGCAGGGCGAGGACTGAGAGAAAAGCGGCATCTAAAGAGAATGCAAATGCAGATCGGAAAAAAGTGGAAGAGGAAAGAATGGGGGCGGAGGAAAGCAGCAAACAATGCTGTGGCGCCGTTGGCGGAGAAAGAAAGAGAGAGGGGCGCCAATATCTTTCTTTCTATGTCACGGTCGGTTACCAAAGAAGTAAGAAATAAATGCGCGAGTTCTTTATTTAAAGAAGTATTACAAAAAATTATTCAAGATTTTTATATTTATTATCTTTAATTATTATTGTTACATTTTACGTGTTTACAACTGTTTTATATGATTAATAATTAATATAAAATAACAAATTATATGTACGAATAAGAAGATGATCATGTTTTTTTTAGATGGTTTTCACGTTACTGTCGTAATTAATTGATAGTCTCTTAATTAAGACGTTTTCAATGAATTTATTTATTATTTTATTTAAAGAAGTATTAAAAAATTATTCAAGATTTTTATATTTATTATCTTTAATTATTATTGTTACATCTTACTTGTTTATAACTGTTTTATATGATTAATATAAAATAACAAATAATATGTAAGAAGATGTTTATGTTTTTCGATGGTTTTCACCAAACTGTCATAATTAATTGATAGTCTCTTATTAGTTAAAATGTTTTCAGTGAATTTATTTATTATTTCATATTACTTTTAATATTTTTTTAATATTTATAAAATGTCATATTTCTGAATTTAAATACATAGTATCAAATAAAATGTATACTATTCAGTTAATGAAAAAAATTAAAGTCTCTCTCTATATATATATATAACTTTATTGTTCTGAATAATACTTCCCATCTTATTATTCATGTCTATATATAGTCTTAAAAGAGCTAATATTTAACCCTAGTTTACAGAAATTTAAAACAATATTTAACTCTAAATTATAATTCAGAAAAAATTTGCAATATAAATTTCAAAATCTTTGTAAAAGAAAGTCATTCTTGTCTTACAGCTAGAAATTTGTTGAAAGTATATTTAATGAAAATAATAATAATAATAATAATAATAATAATAATATTAAAGTATAAAAACTAGTTGAAAAATCCAATTTGTGTGAAAGGACGTGTCTCAGTAAAACCCCTAGGGTTAGTGATTTGAGGTATGAAGGTGATTTGAGTGACAATTACATAGTGATTCTGTAACGACTTTGTTAATTTAACCCATAATACGGGTGTCTTCTTGTATGATGACCTATTGGCAATTGTATCACTTCGCTATCAAACTATACATGTTCTTCAGATAAGAGATGCTGGTAACCTTGTTGATGTACGGGCTATTGGGGAATTCTGCCGTGAAGATGACCAGCTTTTTCTCAATTCCAATGCTCAGGTCAGTTAGCTTTTGGTATTGACTCTGGGTGAGAACTCTTGTCCGTGTACATTGGGCTGTCCTTTAATGCTTTTACAATTGATTTTTTTTTTTCAAATCACCGGGATGGGTCATCTCGGGAATGTTTTTCAATTCTGATTCAGTGGTTCAAGTTAATAATTTTGTGGTCATCTTTAATTGTCACTGCATCCCAATCATCCCTTATCAATTATGAAGCCATTCTAGCTCAATATTGATAATTCTGATGGTTTTGTGGCATATGTAAAGAGCTAAACTCACAAAAATATAGGCCAATCACCAATCATTCTGACAGGGCATGGCATTTTCTGACAAAATTAAACAGCTCCAGTTTCCTGGGAACCACATTGAAAATCACATGCATCAAGGCCAGACTAATCCGGAGAATTCTTTCCTGAGTGGAATAAAACAGCGATTGCTTTCATTCATATTCCAGGGACTATGGAATGAAGAAAGAGATGAAACATTGGTTGGTCTTCAATTTTTTTTTTATTGCTGTAAAATATTCTCCTGTATTTTACATAGCTTTTATTCTATGATTGACGTGTACAGTTCTTATATTATATTGGAAGGTTATCCCCCTCCCCATCTTATACTGAAATTCTTTCCTTTTGCTCTTTAGAGCAAATCGTTTTAAAATCTCACATCTTATATGCTGTCACTTACATTTGAACACTGTTTGTTGCTCTACATCCATATTTCTGTGTCTTCACAGGAATATAAATGTGTGGGAATAGAAATGCATGGCACTTGTTTAGTTGTTGTCCGACACAGTCATTATTACAGATGCACACAAACTTTTTGCATTAATTTAAAAGGAGAAATTACAATGAAGGATTGTTGGTAAAATAATTTTCATTTCAAGAATCAACCACAAACCAGTTAATCAAATTCCAATAGTGGTTACTGAATGATAACCTATTGACTTTATTAACCACTTGTATTGTATGTTTAATGATTCCTGGACTGTAATAAACACTTTCGGTGTTCCTTCTCTCTAATTTTCCGTTGTCTGCATTTCCGCATATCCCATCTCTATTAGGACAATTTCAAGCATGAGTATGTATATGGATAAGAATATATTCTAAAATGTGAAATGCCAGGCATGCATATATTCTTCTTGATTTTCCTACTACGTTGTGAAAGTGATTCATGGGGGGAAGACATTGAAGGAACTGATACAACTGAATCATCTGAATATGATAGTGAAGATGAATATGATAATGGCTTTATTGTTGATAGTGATGTTGATATTTACCGGTCTTCACCAGTCAGAAATAGTGGAGGTATTTTCATTCTATTATAAACTTTTCTTGAGGTCATGAAACAATTATACTCATTTTTTACTTTCATGTTATGTATATTTTTCTTTTAACTTTGTAGATTTCTTATTGATGTTCACATGTGTTTTTTTTTTCCATCTACAGATACACAAATATTAAATTTACAGTAAAATAGAATATGAAATGGCATCAAATACTCACATTCTACCAGTGTTTTTGTTTTGTGAAAAATAATGAACTGTCCAAGAAAATTTGTGTATGATTGTGTCCGGAAAATAATTATAACATATCTGCTATAAAATTCAATCATATATTTCTCACTTTCACTATTATAAGTTTTATCATTATTTTATCAACAATCATTCTTTTGTGCATCTGCTCATTTTAACACATGCATTCCTTGTGTGCTATTTTTGTTAAATAGCTGTTAGTGCCATAACATAGCGGAACTTCTCTGAGTCCCTAATTCCAACTATGTCTGCTGTTGCATTCACTATGATTATTTTGTTTCTGGCATGTGTCGTACATTCTCGTCATCTTTGACAATACTTCTGCCATATATAATTGATAATATACATCATATTTCAACTGTTGTGTGATAAGCCTGTGATGCTATCTGTTAATATAGCAGATTGTTGGCTTTCTGTCATTTTCTACAATGTGCAATTTGTTAATGTTTTGAGTGTAGGAAAGAAAATGAAAAGTTTAAGGGAAAGAAAAAGTATATTGGTTTCCACAGCTTCTGCTTCTGCATCATAGTTTGCAAGATTTTTCTATTAAAATCAACATTAATGACATGTGTTTTCTTTCCCCCTTTTGTTTCAGTTGTAATTGAAGAAATAGTGGATGATGAAAACAAACCTCGTTATTATGCCATATTCCCCATTCCTTTCTATCCCCACACACCTCTTTTTGTCTCGTATTCAGAAGTGCATCCCAAAATTATGGAAACAAACCCCGCAACAATCACTGTTCAATCCCATCTTGTGTAGCAATGCATCCATGGTTGGTGTTCTCATTGCATCCCTTAAGGACTTTGTGACCAATGGCCACCTACCAAATGCTTTCAAAACCTTCATTCAAATCCAGCACCATGCTTCTTCACACCTTCTCCTGCATCCCATTAGCTCCCTTCTCTTTGCTTGCGCGAAGTTTGAGTCATTGTCACAGGGTAAGCAGGTTCATGGCCATATCATCTCACTGGGTCTTCATCAAAATCCTGTCTTGGTTGCAAGGCTTATTGGTTTTTACACAAATGTTAATATCATTGGCGATGCCCAATTTGTCACTGAGAGCTCCTGTACTTTGGATCCTTTGCATTGGAATATGCTTATCTCGTCGTACGTTAAAAATGGGCTCTGTGGGGAGGCTCTTTCTGTGTATAAGAAAATGTTGAGTAAGCAGATTGAACCGGATGAATACACTTATCCTTCTGTTCTCAAGGCTTGTGGGGAATCGTTGGATATCAATACTGGGGTGGAGGTTCACAGGTCTATTGAGGCTAGCTCCATGAAGTGGTGTTTGTTTGTGCACAATGCTTTGGTCTCCATGTATGGCAGGTTTGGGAATCTGGAAGTTGCGCGTAACTTGTTTGACAATATGCCAGTTAGAGATACTGTTTCGTGGAACACTATAATCAGCTGTTATGCCTCTAGGGGTATGTGGGAGGAAGCGTTTCAGCTGTTTGGAAGTATGCAGGAGGAGGATGTTGAAAGGAATGTGATTATATGGAACACCATTGCCGGAGGGTACTTGCATTTGGGCAATTTCGGAATGGCACTTAAGCTGATTTCCCAAATGAGAACATCCGTTCATCTGGACGCTGTTGCATTGGTCATTGGGTTAAATGCGTGTTCCCACATTGGAGCCCTTAAATTGGGAAAAGAGATGCACGGTCATGCGGTGCGAATTCACTTTGACATGTTTGAGAATGTGAAAAATGCATTGATTACAATGTATTCTAGGTGTAGAGATCTTGGGCATGCATTTATGGTGTTTCATAGAATGGAAGAGAAAGGTTTGATATCTTGGAATGCCATTCTTTCTGGATATGCACATGTGGATCGAACTGAGGAAGTATCCTTTCTTTTCAGAGAGATGTTACGGAAGGGTGTTGAACCTAATTATGTGACCATTGCAAGCGTTCTTCCCCTGTGTGCTCGCATAGCGAACCTGCAGCATGGCAGAGAGTTTCACTGCTACATTATGAAGCGTGAACAATTTAAGGACTATTTATTATTGTGGAATGCCCTGGTGGACATGTATGCAAGGTCTGGCAAAGTGTTAGAAGCCAGAAAAGTGTTCGATTCAATGAGCACAAGAGATGAAGTTACATACACTTCCATGATTTTGGGATATGGTATGGAGGGTGATGGAGGAACAGCTCTAAAACTATTTGAAGAGATGTGTGAGTTGGAGATTAAGCCAGATGTAGTGACCATGGTTGCAGTTCTCACAGCTTGTAGTCATTCTGGTCTAGTAGCACAGGGGGAATTGCTGTTTAAAAGGATGATAGATGTTTAT